TATAAGTGGGTTTTAGGGGGTCAAATAGAAACTCTTCCTTTCATTTTAATCCGATTTCATTATGATCTGCGACAATAAATTATTAGGAATATAAATTACTTTAAATGAGGATAGACTAAGATCACCATTTGGATTTTCTATCCATATCGATATGATTTTTAATTTTTTTTTGACCATCATTTATACGCTATGATGTCAAATTAATAATAAATTTTGAGATATATTCACCGATAAAATTTAAAAATTTTGACATGTTGATTGAATGGCATAATTCGAATGCCACTCGACATGCGATTTCATGAACGCGAAGTTATGTGGTTGTGTTGAGCTGTAGATTAGAATGCAAGTTGAATAGCATTCGAATTATCCCATTCAACATACCGAGCGTTTCAAATAGTGATTAAGAACAAAATTAATTTCGTATCATTAATATTTAATAAGCGCTAAAATCAGGAACAAACGCACCGGTATGCTATATTTGAAGTTCTAACTTTGTAAAATTAGTAAAATTACTGGCCGAATGGATAGAGATCACAGACCGACAATTTTTTGTGAATGGCTAGCCTACCTCTCTCCCACATTATTATAAATAAGCAAAATATATGAAAAATTATTGAACGTATAAAATTTTATTATACATTATACTAAATGTACAAATTTTTATAATTTATTATTAGTTTTATTATATAAATGCAGTATAAAGTATATTATATACATTCTATGTATAATATTAAATTATATATGGAATAAAATATGAAATAGTTAAAAATTAACGATGAATTTGATTGGATCAATGATAAATAACCAGGTTACTCAGATTAGATCTTAACCTTTTTATAAGAAATTAATTAATATCTCAACTATTAACAAGTGACAGACAAGAGAAGATATAATACTCTAAAGTATAAACTGTTTTATACTTATAGTACACTCCAAAGTATTTTACACATCTTAATAATCCGGAATGGTGTTAGACCTAAACCACGCTGGGTATACTTCGGAGTTACTTCGGAGTACTTTACTCCGTTAACATCCTAGTGTTATTCGGCAATTTATGATCACGCTGAGTTTTAATTTAAACAAGCATCGTAACACATGAAAAAAATAAGAAATAAATTCATGGTCATGAGTTTGCCGGATAAATCTTTACGAGTCCTTTGTTCGTGATGAACCATTTTTTGCTCGTTTATTTTGTTATTTTTTGTCATTTTGTTTATTTATAAAAGTTGTGCGTGAAGGTCATACTTTATACTGTATTGTCTTTAATTTTGCGTTATTGAATTTTTATAATATCATATAACTGCACGAGTCTTTGAATTTTCAATATTCCAAATTTGTAAAGCATCTTTCTGTTTTTGGTTAATTTTTGTTATTAAAGGTGTGCAAACCATGTACCATATGACATATCTTAATAACTTCAGCTTTTGGTCAATGCAAACCATGCACCATATGACATATTTTAATATATTTTTTTTTCGCGGCTGACGGCTGAAGCTGACCTTGATATTTTACGCATTGAAAACTTGTGTACCTTATCATGCTATTAAACCATTTGTTTATTGAACACCTTTTATTGTAGGACTCAATATATAATATTTTAACCATCTACATTCACCTTCTGAGTACATTCATCATTTGAGTACATTCACCTTCTGAGTACATTCACTGTCTGAGTACATTTACCATCTGATAGAACTATAAAAATCCCAAATTTTGATTTCATCTTTTTTTAAGGCAAAAACCTTCAATAAAATTTTAAAATTGCCATTATGAATCGACCTATAAACCAAGCAGTTAGAGGTCAGCAGTTGGCACCTCAAAATGCTAATATTCCTGTAAATTTATTCTTCGATAATCTTACTGCCGAACAAAAATATGAAATTTTAACTAAAGGCACAGATCCATTCGCTAGTGCTAGAGTACAAGAAACGGAAAATCAGGCAGTTCCTAAATTCCAGGACTTTATTTTTT